ACAAAGGACGAGAAATAATTTTCGGTTGATCCCCGTCGAAATCTTGACGGCTTTTTTAATCACAGAAAACAATCACTCACTTATCTTGTCATTGCGTTACATTACGTCATGGAAACTAATTATGCAAATTATTGTTTAACTTTATATGCCGGTAAATAATATGGTGCTAAAAGGCTGACTGAGGCCATTACACTGCTTCCCTAAATGCTTGTCATTTAAAAGAAAAATCGATGTATATAATTATGTTAAATCTTATGGAAGAGAATGTATAGATACTGTATTACAATAATCATCCGATAAGGAAGTCTTTATCTAAAATTCATAAATGTCAAAGGTATATCTAACAAATCTTCCATCTTGCATCTTARAATATTTGCTAAATAATCAAATGTCTATAAAAATAGTCATAGAAACCTAAACATCAAGAAATATATTGTCCATTATAAACTGTATCATTAAAGGTTCGTGCTGACTAGGACAGGCGTGTCCTTCAATCATTCAAATTCTTCTTTGGCCAGAACCAGAACTAGCTTGTGGATCGGTCTTTCAAAGCATTTAGGTTGACCATCTTGCGATGTTCGTAGTTGTACCTTGCGYACTAGACCATCCTTGCCAGGGTAGACCTTGGTGACTCTGGCTAAGGGCCACTTGTTTCTTGGGCTGTCGTTTTTTAGAAGCACGACATCTCCTACTTGRCTGTTTCTTTTTGGAAGAACCCACTTACGCCTGCTGATGAGTAGGTTGAGGTACTCTTTCCTCCATCTAGACCAAAACTGYTCCGCCAGATATTGTGTGCGTCGCCACCGTTTTCTTGAATATACATCCGGGCTATCAAATCTTCCTGGAGGRGGAAGTACTACYGCTGKTTTGCCGATCAGCAAATGGTTGGGAGTTAGAGGCTCTGCTGCATTCGGGTCGGACATGTCAGGGACCGTTAGAGGACGGCTGTTGATCATGYTTTCGGCTTCGGTCATGAAGGTTCTGAATGTTTCATCGTCTAGGTGGCTTCCCAGTTGATTGAGCAGGGATGACAGTATTGAGCGAACAGATCGTATCATCCGCTCCCATATACCTCCCATATGAGAGGCATATGGCACGTTGAATTTGAATTCAATGAGTTCGCAATTATTCCTGAGAAGGAATTGYTTGATCTTGTCTGCGTTCACTTCGGACTTGAATTCGTTCTTGGCGCCAACGAAATTAGTACCTTGGTCTGARCGTAAGGCCCTCACCTTTCCTCTGCGATTGAGGAACCTTCGGAGTGCGTTGATGAAGGAATCAGATTCCATTGAATTCAAGGTTTCTAGGTGTACGGCMCGTGAAGAAAGACAGGTGAAGATCAGTCCGTATCTCTTTAGAGTCTTCCGGCCTTCTTTGATTAGAAAMGGACCRAAAACATCCATGCCGGTGTATGTGAACGGCGGGGCTGGTGTGGTACGTTCTTGTGGTAAGTCAGACATCTTCTGAGTTTGAAATTTGCTTCTTTCTTTGCGGCACGTAACACAGGTRCTGATGTGAGAAGATACAGCAGATCGTCCATTAGTGATCCAAAAGCCTGACTGTCGAAGGGCGTTGAGTGTGGTACATCTTCCTTGGTGGTGGGTCACTTGATGATAATGATCAATGATGATTCGTGTAATGTGACATTTCTGAGGAAGGATTAAGGGATGCTTRATCTCAAATGATTCGTCACTCGCTGCGATACGTCCGCCGACTCGAATTAGGCCTTCGTCATCAATAAAGGGATCAAGTCGAAATAGTGTGCTTTTCGACCTCATCTGCACATTGCGAGTTCGTGCATCGTTGCGGTTCTGAAAACAGTCCGTGTTTCCCTGTAACTTCTCGAGAATCTTTAGCTCTTGGCTGAAGTGCTCCTTTTGTAGGTTTCGTATTATTAACTTTTCGGCTTGTTGATGATCTGAGACTGTGTCAGGACGGCTTTCTGTAGATTGCTTTGTAGTGATTCGGTGCTTTAGACTTCGTATGCCGCGTCTTATGGTAGCCACCCACGACTTTGCCTTGTTCCAAGAGGAGAAGCGATCGAGGTATTTCACAATGGGTGGGAAATCCTTCACTTCTTCCCCGCTTGTGAGCAGTGTTGCAGCCACCATTGGGTCTGATCGAACTTCAATGTCATCTTCTGCTGGATCCGTAGTAGGTATTTCACTTGTTAGCGGTACTTCTGCTTCCCAAAGCATGTTCGGGCCTTTTAGCCAACGTTCGTTGACTAGAAGTTCCTTTGCTGACATAGACCTGGAGGCTTCATCAGCAGGATTATCTTTGCCCTTTACGTGGTGCCACTGGTTTGGCTCACTGCGATCTCTTATTTGCTGCACTCTATTTCCCACGTAGACGTGGAAGCGTCGAGAGTTGTTGTGGATGTAGCCCAGCACTATTTCCGAGTCGGTGTGGAACACGCAGTTCACGTTATCATAGTGGAGCTCGTTCTTGAGCATGCTAGCAACATTGACAGATATTACTGCTGCTGTGAGCTCCATTCGTGGGATCGATATGGCCTTAAGGGGTGCTACACGCGACTTTGCCATAAGGAAGGCGACATGTACTTGTTTTTGCTCGTTGACTAGCCGTAGATACGACACGTGTCCCAAACCATTCTCACTTGCATCTGAGAAGCTGTGGACTTCTGTTTTGACGGGAACGCCAAAACCTGGGGGCTTTACGCATCGGCTCACCTTTGCTTTCTCTAAAAGTGGGAGTTCTGAGCGCCATCTTTCCCATTGTATCGCGATGCTCTCGGGAACTGGGTCGTCCCAAGACACATTCTGTCGGCAGAGACTTTGAAGAATCTGTTTACCGACAAGAATGACGGGTGCTACAATCCCCAGTGGATCGTACACGGAGCTCGTAGTTGAGAGGATCCCTCTACGTGTCAAGGGTTTGTCTTTTAGCTCTATTCTAAAGCCAAGTGTGTCTGATTCAATACACCAATAGGTTCCTAGGGATCTTTGGATTGGTAGTTTGTCATATCTAAGGTCGAGGTCTTTGAGATCTTTCGCTCTTTCTTCAGCTGGGATTGCTTCGAGTACTGTCTTGCTGTTGCTGGCAAACTTGTGTAGTCGGAGGTTCTTAGCTGCGCACATGGCTTGACTTTCTTTGATCAATTTGATCGCTTCCTCTTCGGATGGCACAGACTTGAGCCCGTCGTCCACGTAGAAGTCATTCATGATGAAATCTGCAGCTTTGTCACCAAAATCCTCTCGGCCTGCTTGTGCAGTTTGTTGAAGACAGTAATTAGCCACACCTGGAGATGATATAGCTYCAAATAGGTGGACATTCATACGAAATTCTACGATTCGACCGTCAAGGTCATTCTCCTCAAACCAGAGGAACCGCAGAAAGTCTCTGTGCTGAGGGCTGACAAAGAAACTGTGGAACATCTGTTCGACGTCGCAGGTAAAGGCGAATTCTTCTTTCCTGAACCGGAGGAGTACCCCAACTAGGGCATTCATGAGATCGGGTCCTTGTAGAAGGTTCTTATTTAAAGATTGGTTGTTGAACACAGCGCTGCAGTCGAACACGACGCGTAGTTGGTCTGGCTTCTTAGGGTGGTGGACATCGAAGTGAGGTAGATACCAAACTTTGCCAGATTGTGTATCTAACTGATCAGCAGGGATGCGACTTGCGTGGTTGCGGATGAGGATCTTGTCCATGAATTCGAAGTAAGCATTCCTTAATTTACTGTCTTTGACTAATTTCCTTTTCAAAGATAGGAGTCTGTGTAGACATTGCTGCTTGTTGTTAGGTAGAGTAGTATCATCCGTCTTGAAGGGGAGAGGAGCTTCCCAATTCCCGTTTGAGTTCTCATGCAATTCTTTATYTAAGGTCTCGCGGAAGCGCTGATCATCCATCGACTCGACCTTATCTGTACCCTTTATTTGACGGCTGTAGTGTAACTCATTATAATCGAGCTCCATCATCTCTCGTAGCTGTAGAGGGCTGGTTATGTCTTTGACTCTACATGCATTCACGATCGTCGGGAGCTGTTCCTGTTCTTCGGTGGAGAGTCTTTGCACTGATGAAGGTTGTGTAGATCCTTTACTCTCCGTAGTCTGTGTAGAGCAGACATTTCCGATGATAGTCCAGCCGAATTTGTATTCTTCGGCCCACGGTTCATCTGTACCTCCATAAATGATACTAAGCGGTTGCAAGGCAGTTGGTACATTGCGTCCAATGAGCATACCGATCTCGACATCTGGGTAGTATTTTATCTTATCGCAGATTGGCTTTAGATGATTCCATTCTTTGGCGATGGCAGATGTAGCAATGTCCTGATGACTTGCCGGAATCTCGTCTCCTGCGTATGCGTATGGGATCCGGATAGGAGTAAAYTTGTGATTTATGTCTTGAATTTTGAGACCCATCAACTTCTTAGCACGGATCGTGTCTGTTCCTATGATAGTCTTCGCTCGCACGTTTACGTCTTCACCCGTTACTCCTAGCTTTTCAAGTAGTGGAGTTGTAATAAACACATCTGTCGACTGATCATCGAGCACAGCATAAGTCAGGGTTTTGGGGCATGACGCTGATTCATGTGATACTTCAACTAGGACAATCCTCGCACATGATCRGCTTTTCTTTGGTGATCCACAGATCTTTGTACAAGCGACCTTGCTTTCGCCGTCCTCTTGAGGCTTGTGTAGAATTGTGAGATGTTTTTCTTGACACATGTCGCAGGTGGCTTTTGGCTTCTTGCAGTCTTTCGAGATGTGATCAGAGTGAAGGCAGTTAAAGCATAGTTTGTTCTTATAAAGAAAGTCTCTCTTTTGTTGATGACTATACGTTTGGAACTTGTTGCAAGATGTAAGGTCATGAGCTTTAGAGTTATGTAGCTTGYAGTACTCATCATGTCCACTGGCTTGATCCGTAGTGAGCTTGGTTGCCAACACGGTCGTTTGGTTTTTTCTTTGGTAAGTTGAGGTCATGTGACCTGCCTTTGGAGCGAAGCTGGCGGTAGCCTTTKGCTGTCCTACGGATGTGTTAGCGGCGTGAGCTATCTGTGGTATATTCATGCGTCCAGCTTGGAAGGYTACTTCGCTGACGAAATTGTCGAACGTAGGGAAGGCATCTAGCCCTCGCTGTTGTTGCAATGTTTGCACTTTAGACGACCACGTGGTTTTGAACCAGATCGGCATTTTCTCGACTAGAGATTGTATCTTGGATGGATACTCGAAGATCCTTAGGTTAGTTATATATCGGCTAGCGATGTTCACTTGGTTCAAGAAGTCGCTGAATTCTTGCATTGCTTGCGCATCGTTGTTTTGTATCTTAGGCCAGTTACAGAGTTTAGCTTCGAAGTCGGTATAGAGTATTGCAGAATTACCGAAACGATTCCTTAGCATACTTTTGGCTTCTCTGTAGGCTATCTCTGGTTGATGCAACATGAACTGTAGCTGTTCTACAACTTTCTTAGCTCGGCCATCTAGGTGTTGAAACAGGAGATTCAGTTTGTGCTGGGGAGAAATCGGCGCCGAGTCAACTAACGCATCGAAAGCTGACTCCCAGGCGAAGAATTTCGTTTTGTCTTTTTCGTCGCCGTTGAAAACATCGGGCTTTGCTTGCGGTAGTCTTTGAAGTTGGGCAATCTTGGCCATTGATTCGAGAATGGCTTGGCTRCTGGAGTCTGTTCTGTGATCCTTGTAATGCATGGGCGGGAGGAGCGGCGCCGAATTGAAAGCGGCTCTGACTCTTGGAGCACTTGGCAGGACAGGAGAGAAGGTAGATGGGAGTTCTAGCCGTGTTTGTGATACTTGACTCGTCGCGATGTTGTGACTTTGTGTCGCTGTACTTTGACTGGAGTTACTTGTTTGTGGAGACAGTCTATCTCTTTGGAGTCCGACGTTTAATTTTGTTGTCGGAACTTCGTCATTCGGAGAGAGGGTTGGCAGTAGTGAATTATCGTGTAGTCCGTTTCCATTTGTTCCAAGGGTTGAGTTTCCTCGAGGAATTACATCAGATGTGGAGGGGACTGTCGGTGGTGGAAGAGCTGTGTCTTGGTGTTGAGAAGTTTGTCCGTTTTGTTTGTTTTCAATGGGTGACTTTCCTCGCGGAATTTCGTCGGTTAGGAAGAGGRCTTGAGGTGGRGTATGATTGTGAGTCGTGACGTCACGTTGATAGTTCTGACCATTTTCGTCAATTCCGATAGCTAACGTTCCTCGCGGAGCTTCGCTGGCTGGGAAAAGTACTTGTGSTGGTGATTGGTTGAGCGCTGTGACATCACGCCTGTATCCGTCTTCGTCCTCTTCRTACTCGGCCTCTTGGCGATAAACTTCTTCTTCGGCTCGTGATGAGCTTATTTCTTGTAGCAATTTTAGTTTAGATAATTTCTTTTCTTGTTCTTTAATTTCATCGTTGTATTTTATTTGTTCTTCTAAGGCTGCTCTTCGCGCTTTGGCTTTTAGCATAGATGATCTTGCAGATGACGCGCGKGACGAAGCGCGTGACGGCGTACGTGACGATGCCTGTGAAACACTATCTCCATTTATGATTAGTAAGCGTTCTTTCGTTGCATTRTGAGCCGAGTTGAACGATACAATTAAGGAATCTTTAACTTCTTCGATGTGATGCAACGTTTCTTCGTTTKTAGTTAAGGCTAAACATTCGCTCAAAAGGGTAGTCGTATCATTGCATAACGATTTGAGAGAGTCTAGTTCCGTTTTGATGATTTGTGTRTTCTTGCTTGATCGAAGAGTTTCGTAAAATTTATTGTAAAAGATGTTAAACTTGTTTATGGCGGAATTAGCTGCTTTTTCCTTTATTTCTAAACTGTAGCTCTGTCCTTTTTCGGTCATCTTACGCGTGCGTTTTGGCCGTTCTTCGGTCATCTATAATAACTGATAGCGTACGCCGGAAATGGATCTCGTGACTAATGTCAATAGAAGGATTGTTCATGGATGTCAAGTTAATAACTGATAGCGTCTAGTGGCGTGGCTCAAATAGAACTCTGCGTCTATGGTAGTTATAAGGTTTAATCAACGTTCTTACCTTCCTAATAAAGAGTGATTGATACTCTTATTGTTTCTTGTATTGTCGATGGAATTATCCGCTTGATATTTGACGATTAAGAAAACAATGAGACGATTGTTGTCGTAAAGTGGGGTCCTAGCGTAGATTATAATTGTTGCGAAATTGTCCCGAAGTTACGATGAATTACTGGTGATCGTAGTAATCTAGACGAATATTTGTGCGTTGAATATCGACGTTTGTAAAACAGAAGTTGTAGTTTTTTTGGACGTCACCGTCTGACCAATAAAGCTGATGTGTTGGATTGTTGTTGGTATCTAACCAATGAAGATGATTCGGAGCGAATATCTTGATTCGACGACTGAGGTTTCCACTTGGAAATTCGAGATTTCAACTTGAAATAAGATTTCGACTGTGATGGCGCCAGCTCAGGGAGAGGGCCGCGGAACATAGAACACTAAGAAAAGCCTTGATAACGRACAAAGGACGAGAAATAATTTTCGGTTGATCCCCGTCGAAATCTTGACGGCTTTTTTAATCACAGAAAACAATCACTCACTTATCTTGTCATTGCGTTACATTACGTCATGGAAACTAATTATGCAAATTATTGTTTAACTTTATATGCCGGTAAATAATATGGTGCTAAAAGGCTGACTGAGGCCATTACAGTTGTCAAAAAGTGGTGCTGATGAGAACGAAGAAAGGCTGGCATCATTGGAAGCATTAGCCAAACACAAATAACTGAAAACAAAATCAAAGCAAATAAGTGATGTTTACTTATGAAAATGTCCAGTAATTAACAGTTGCCCACGTAAAAATAATTTATTGAATTCCATTTCTATC